CTAAAAGGGTAGAGCCACCTGTGACTGAAATAGACTTGCCATTGTAATCTGAAATCCGGCCACCCTTCACGCATACAATAGGCCTCTCCCCTCGACCAAGTTTGTCCTCAATTTCCGAACCTTCATCTTCGGCCTTTGAATCCCACAGACACATGTCTATACTGTGGCTAGATTCATCGCTCAAACAAAGCATCCTCCTCCTCATGAATGCTCCAGAATCCTTAGGAGAAATGTTTGTCTGTCCAATCCACATTACACCACCAATCACGTCTACAAATGTCTCTTGGCTGAGCTTAGAAGCATCTAAAACACTCGTTCTTTTAAGAAAAACATTTGGAATACGTAGATCGTCCTCCACACGCTTGATCTCCATAGTCTTGCTTGCTTTTATCTCCCAATTTGATTTATATGGTGTATATGCTGGTTTAGAGCGCTGCACACCACTGTTCCCTGAAAATATATAGACACTGCCTTGCTCAATCTCGCTTGAAAGACGCTTTGCATTCTCGCCAAATCCAACAATACGTATTTCAGAACTTTCTGCATCGGCAACATCAACTGACATAACACACCCAGCTGTGCCTGTTTCAAAGAATACAAGTTTCCCTTTGTGTGTCACCCTGGCACGTAAAGACCAACGGTAGCAGTGGTCGTTGATATCCTTAATAGGCATCTCATTGATCATAAGCTTCTTAGAACTCTCTCCCTTAACATGAAACAGAGAAAAAAAAATGTAATAATAAATCACAAATCAAATATTTTGCATGCATAAAACTAGAAGAAATCATTAAAAAAATGGTAACGTACCTTATGATTAAACTTCTGACTTCGTTTTTTACCCTTAGAAAATAAACACTGCTAAGTCAGATAACAAAAGAAAGAAAGAAAGAAAGAAAGAATAAATATTTACCGTTAAAGGATCCCCAGCAACATCTTTCGCTGGTATTTGTTTCCATTCACCACACTCCATAAAGGACAGGTCCGAAACAATGAGTGACCTATCAAAATATGTTATAAAATGGAAATGTAAACAGGGAAAACATACTCTTTTCCATTTGTTGTGCAAAAACCATAATCAGTAAATCTCACAAGACTATTTACACGGACATCCCAAGAGTCTATGGCACTTGACACACGATAAGAACCAAATGCCTCCAAGCATTCCTTCTCATCTGTTACACAGAATCTTCCCACTAAATCTCCAGGTTTGGAATCGATCTTCGTAATACGCAGGACAATCTCATCTGTGGAATTGTCCTTAATCTTTTTTATGCCATCCACCGTGCATCTCACGTGGTCTCCCATCGTCTCTAAGAATTGATTCAAAACCTAACTTACAAATTATGTACCCCTTCATGTCAATAAATGCGCTGCCCAATGTACTGCATATCGAAGGCACTTATATTGTATGAGGAACATGTATATATATGTTATGATTACCTTCAATAATTACATATATTAAAACTATGTATGTATGTACCTAATCAGGCAGTGAGCTATATTGTTCTGAATGAGGTTTTAATTTATTCAATATGAAAAATTACCATTCATTAAATAACAGTGCTGTTCCGTGCCAACATTAATGCTTCAGTGCATTCGATTTGTCTCGTGAATGATTTAACACTGATCTCGCCATGTTATGGTTTAATCTCTTGCTTGCTATTACAGTGAGAAATGGGCATTGATGTGGCTGGAAACAGTCTTAAAAAGTGATGTCCATGTCACTCTGTGAAAATTAAGTCATAAAAAAAAGGAAACAGTATATTTTTCTAGACTGATCTGATCTGTGATCTTAAATCTATAAACTATGATCTTATACAAAAACTAAAAGAAAAGAAAGGACGATGGAAGTAAGATAAATAGCAAAATTTGAGCATTCTATGCTGGATACAAAAGATGAATGGTCGTCTTGGTTTTGCTCTTTTACTGGCTTAAAACAATGATTAAAACATGATATAGATTAATGACATTACAATAGTAATATGTATGAGACATTTCATAGGGGATTTTTTTACAAATCTAATTGACCATCGTAATTTCCAAAGAACACAAAGAACTCATTCCTGTTTGCAAGACAAAGCCTTCTGAGCCAAAGTACCGAGTTTTCTTTTTTTCTTAGATACCTCTGTCGCCACTCGTGAAGTGCTCTTATCACCATCTGAAAGCATTGTCGCAGAGGCTTCCACTGCATAATCACATATGTTCTCACTTGGTAACAATGTCAAAATGTTGCTATGGCCTCATGCTCGCCTTGTATAAGGTCAAAAACTTTTCCACGTCTGTAACTTTTTGGGGAATTTTCCCAAAAGTCCTCTACCATTTGAGGCGAACAATGGAACAATGGGATTCCATTCGAAAATTCAGTATTTTCAGTATGCGGTCTTGGCGAAAATCATGACAAATAATCAAAAGGAGAGATTTGAACCAGAGATTTGTTGCATTTCAAAATAATAACTTGGTATCACTGCATTTCCTCTGCCAAACAGACTTGGCCAGTTTAAGGAAGATCTGTCTCTGATCATTCCGGTTGCAAAGGTACAACTCTTTCCTGCTATACATTGTCACGTATGTTATTCCAGGATAACATTGCATGGCACTTCAGGATAATCCCAAGGATAACGTCACTGTAGCAGAACTGAGCATGCAGCAACGATAGTGATATCACAGAAGAGGCCATAGTGGACGTCGTTACTGCCGTGAGAAAGCAACCACAAACTTGATGAAGTTTCTCAACTTCCTGAAAGACTTATAGTTGGCTTCTGAATACCCGCTAAAAAACTGGAATTACGCCCTATCTGCCTATGTCCAGAACTCCATTGATCCATGTGTGGACTCGTGCAATGTGATGCTTGCTGTAGTCAAACTGCTGCACAAAATCTAAAAAAACTTTAAATATGTATTTCTATTTGGTCAGAGCTTCTTTGGCCAGCATAGTTACAAGGAAGCCATAGACCGCTCAAACCTAAAGCAACCTAGCATTTGTGTGTTATCCAATAAAAGACTAACTTCCCCATAGCATCCGTTGAACATTAAGTCTTTCATGCTTGGATCAGATTCCAAGCAAGGATCCAAGCATGTTTAAAAACGTTCTCTACTTCTCTCACTTGACTGGATATTTGATTGATATAGGTTTTAAGACAGTTTGGGACTCAGATGTCCTTTGCTGTTAAAAGATGGAAAACTCTGTGTTTACAGAACTCGAGCTTTTAGAAATAAGCATCTTTTAAAAAAATGGCTATTTTTAAAATAACGAAAAGTGAAGGACTTCAAGGTCAATATAAATAGTCAATGAATGAAACTTCAAAACAGTCTGATTTTGAGTCACTTTTCTCCAAACAAAGAAAACAAGTATGCACCTCCAGACTGAATTTTTTTGTCATTACAACATATGTCTTATTGTCCCATATGTATTGCTGTACAAAACAAAAGGATGTTAAAACACCATCTTTGAATGGAGAACGCTGTGAGGACTACCAGTGCTGCGAAACAACATCTTGAGGACAGGTTTAGCTGTTAAATTGTTTTTAACGTTACATATGACAAACGTCGTTCCTATTTATACAGCTCAAGCAAGCTGGGGAAGATTTGCGAAGCACAAAGATTCTCTCTGTTGCTTTTGTTTATCATTCCACTCGTTGATTTCTACAGGAACACATGGTTAGAGGAAGCTTCTTGTGAGATCGAAGCTGCTGTTAGGAATAGTTTGGACAAGGTTTAACTCGAGTTATTTTCATGCATGCTAAGTGGCTCCAATGTGGAAGTGTAGGCACAGGCCTGTGAACTTAAATCCATTCATTTAATCCAGCTCCGAAATGTCATATCTATCCCAGCGGAGCTGGATGTCACTCTATGCCCATATTCATCATTGACATAGTGACAGAAATCATTCACTTGGATTACTTTTGTTCTTTTTCAAAACAAACTAAGGATTTGAGATTGTTTTGGACAGAGTCTAAACCGTGCCATTGTTTTTGTTGTATAAGAGATCATATTAAAGCATGTGGTCATGTTAGAGGATGTATGAGATCTTGCAGCAGAACTGAACTTTGAAGTATTAATGGTAGGTACATGCTGTATAGGCTCAAGAGCATTCACAAGTTGCCTATCCTCATAGCGCTCTTCAGAAGTACAACAAGGATCACAGAAAGTTAATGCATGTTCTAGATGAACACCTCACGTCTTATTAAGACAGATAATTCATTAAAGTTTAGTTCTAAAGTCTTTTAATATCTTCCTTCTAGAGAGAACATTAATATCAATATAGATAGTCAAAAAAAGAAACTCTGAAACGCTTTGCTCTTGAAGTATGAGTGGTGCTAATACTTTCCAACCACAGGTAGCAAATAGGCACATCTAGAGTAAATTTCTTTGTCATAACGATATATGTCATTCCATCCCATATGTATTGCTACAAAAAGGAAGTTGTTAATCTCTCAACTCTAAAACATATAAGCATACCTCTTGGAGACCACACCATAGGTTATATTGATGAATTAATATGTCTTGGTCTTCATTTTCAGTTGCAGATACAAAAAGCTTGACACCATCAAACTGTTTCATGAATTGAAGTTCCACACACACAAATGTTATATATGTAAAGCATGGATCTCCACTAAAGGATGATAATTCTGGGACTGGCATGCAACCATGCTAAGAAAACATAGAAACAAAAGATAATCAGTAACAAAAAAGGATCTCTTTAACTAATCATCATACATGATAATTTTTGAAATGTCTCAGATGACCCTGTAAAATTGCTTTAATAGGGTCTTTAACAAAACAAAATGATGCTTCATGTAGGTTCATTAATAGATTTTTCAACCACCATATCAGAGACATATGTCCTCTAACTATTGGAGGAGTGCAAGACATAACTTCACCATTGTTCCAAAAATTCTTGGAGCTAATAAATATATCTCCTGAAAAAATATTGATAAAATATAACTTCTTATTATTTAATGAACTTCCGAATGGAATCATTCCTAATTCAAAACCAATGTGCATAGCACGCAACTTTAAAGTTAAGGAACAAATCTCCTGAATATGCAGCATTTTTGAACACATAAACGTGTTGTTTGTCCAGTAACACCCAATCAAACCTCCATATTCCTGATTTACAAAACCCTCGAAAATAGAACGACTACACTGTCCATTCATCGATAGTAAGAAACACCTCAGTGACTGTGGAAGTGGCACGTGTAACTCGCTTTCAGCTTCGTCTAATATTTGGTTGGGCATTCTTCCCAATATTGTTGGGAAAAATTCATGTGCCTTGAGATGTATATAGAATTTCAATTGAGTGACAATATTCCTGGTTTGCACAACGATGTCAAAGTTGTATCTTTTGAATGTCATATACCAGCTCTTGTAAGCCTCCTGCATTGAAAAAAAAATTAAATATTAAAACAGAATATGAACAAAATAAACCTTATATGTTCCAACACGTAGGCCTTCAAAGGTTATTGGTGAGCATAATGCAAAATCCCATTGACAATGCTTCTTCCAGTTTGTTTCCATGTTACACCTCCTGTAGAATTGTTTAGATAGGCAAGAAAAAATAGCGTTGTTGTAGCCTCTGGTAGTGGCAATCCTATACACTAGCTCAAATGGAAGAAAAGGAAGGCGGCCACAGTAATCCATAACTGAAATTAGGTTTAGGTTAAAAAAATATGGAAACAGCATTCGTTTTACAACCCTTCCACTTTTGCCAGAATATGTGGCTACAGGTACGAACACATACTACTCATCATGTTAATTGTGAATGAATTTTCCTTTATATAGCTTCCTCCTGATTGGGTTCAACGATCAATGGAGTGTTCTTTTTCATGCGAAAATGGTGATAAAGTCTTTTTTGTGTTTGAAGAAAACAGTGAATTCATGTTTGAACTTCTAAACAATGACTATAGAGTTTCAAATTCAAGACTGATACAAAATGGCAAGAATTCCTGTGCAAACAGCAAGCAAAAGTAGGAGACATTTGTAAGATAAAATGTGAAGATGGACAGATTGTTGCAAAGATACATAAAATTAGACAATGCTAGAAGAAGCTTACATACTAGCTTTATTCTTTCTCTATGTAGGGCTAAACAGTGCTTTTTGCAAATTCCATAACAAAACAAAACAAAAAATAGAAAAAAAAAACTTCATTATCTGGCTCTATACTACAGAAGAAAGAAGATACTTGCTCCAGTGTCGGTTGCTACCATGTCTTCCTCACTTCATCGTCGTCATCATGTCAGCTGCTGCTTGATCGCCAGTAGTTGTCGTGCAAATTCTCTCCTTCTCAAGCTCCCGATGCACCGCCA